TAATGATTTTTCCAACATTTTTGTCTATTTAAAAAAAAGTGTGTAAGTTATGGAGATGGTAACAATCATAAATCGATTATAAATTTAATTATATATTTTTAGACAAAAAATAAACCCCCTTGGCCCACAGCCCATTTTTTTGACACCATGACCATACGTATTATTAACATGTAGTGTATATATACGAAGAATTTTTTCTAGTAGGTTGACTAACAGGTACTTGGTGTGGTACTAGGTTTATTGCATTTATGGCTTAGGGGCCGCGGTTTACCTCCCTCCGTTTAGTCATGCTGGATCAGGGGTAGTAAACTCAGCGATCGTGGGTTCGATTCCCACACGGGGCAAGTTTTTTATTTATTTATTTATTTTTTTAAGGTCGTGGGTTCGATTCCCACACGGGGCAAGTTTTTTATTTATTTATTTATTTTTTTAAGGTCGTGGGTTCGATTCCCACACGAGCCAGGTTAAAAGAAATTTTTTTAAGGCAGTTTAGTTGATGGTGGATAATGAGAGCAAACCTGGAGGTTGTGGGTTCGATTCCCACACGAACCCATTTTTTTTTTTAAGGGTGAAGGTGGATAATGAATAGCAAACCTGGTGGTTGTGTGTTCAATTCCCACACGAACCAATGTTTAAAAAATTTTTTAAGGCAGTTTAGTTGATGGTGGATAATAAATAGCGAAGATGTGACAGAAGATTGCCTTTAATTAGTTCGTAGCTGTGGCATTTTGAATTTTACACTGTATTTGTTTTTGGAAACATGTCGCAATGACTCAGCAGGCTCCCAAGTCTACCTAAATTCCAATCTTGAAGGCCAATTTCCCTCTTCCAAAATAAATATAATTTTCCCAGAAAATCTAGAATTTTTCTTCTGAATTAAAAACTGATAATACTTGTAAAATTTGCTTCTCGAATATATTTTTAAATATAATGGGTAAGCCCCTTACTGAAATATTTGCATGCATATCATTGTTTCCGAGTCTTCCTTCAGGCATTGTAAGTTGTAAACAGTTTTGTTTTCTTGAAAATTGTTTTGAAAATGTTTTCTAGACCCTATTGGAAACAATCCTCTTAGTTTAATTAAGGAAATCCAGATTTTTTTGAGTACTTTAAAATTACAGATTTTCGAGAGGGTAGTGTTATTATTATTTTTTTATTGTAAAATTTTCAATCTTATCCTGTGTAACACCCATGTTTACACCAGTGTTTTTTTTCATCTGATGTGGCAGTGTAAGGTATTATAAATAATATAATTTTTACACTGTCAAAAAAAATGGAATACCTGCACAGGTTTGACACAATAGGGAATTTCTGTTATACTAGGCCAAAAGAATGTACAGTGATCTCAAGTCGCACTCACTTAATCTATGAACACTAGTTGAAACTCTCTGGCATATTTAAAGGAAGCTTTTTTCATCACCTTTGCTTTCAAAGATACCAAAACCAATGATTCGGCCTACATCTAATAAGGAGAAATTACGAAGATAACCAGTAAAGGTACTGTACAGCAAGCCAGTTCACATTTATTTTATCATTTACAACTATATACAGCTGCATACCTTATGTACAAGTTTCACAATTTAAAACTATAGTTCATTATTATACAGCATAACAATTATAAGGGAAGAACTTGGTGTACACGAAATGGGTTTCATGACATGGTTCCAGTGTTTTGGTTGGTCGATACAAACTTAATAGTATTAACTATATAGACACCTTATACACAAAATGAATATTTTACAGTACTATATTTATATCCTTTTATAAAGTACAATAAAATTGCTATCATTGCTGTCTATGCTCGTTTTAATTTGTTTTGGTTTCATAGCATACTCAACAATGAAACCCCAAAAGTATGACAGAAGATTTTATGGCATACAACAATCACCTTCATCAGTAATTATTCAAACTTATTTTACCTATTAATAGAATGAATAAATAAATTATATTTCCAATAACTATCACAGCCTTCACAATCGATAAATCATTAAACCCAATATAAACACATGAAAATAATAAACAGTTCATGTACTTTATATACCACTGGGCAAGAAGAAGAATGGAAATTGAATATGGAATAAAAAGTTAACCACATAATAAAAAAGAAAAGATGTATTGTGCTTCACAGTAAAGGCAAATTGCAAATAAAACCACCTTCAATGAAAACTAACAGTGGCAGTAATTCAATGTGTCTACGGAAAAATATTAACAAGGATTAAAGCTACTTTTACCTGTCATGTTAACCTACCAACCATTACGATACCAATCGCAGTTGAATTATTAATTCCTGTCCTGAGTATCAAATCCGATTTGACAAACAACTGTTGTATGCCCATATATAGTCATGATGTGCCCATATATAGTCATGATGTGCCCATATATGGTCATGATGTGATGTCGTCAGGACAATTTTTAGGCACTTTGTTTAAACTAAAATTTGATAGTCAGGACAGGGCTTTAGTAACAATAACTTGCACTATATAAAAAACTGATGATGATTATCATTATTATTATTATTATTATTATTATTATTATAATTAAACTATTACAATATTAGGAATAACAAGAATTATAATAATATTTAACTAAAAATAGAGATGAAAACAAATGATACGTTGAAAAGTAAGTCAAAATGAATTTATCGTAATAATGATAATAACAATAGTATTCATAAAGAACCAAATATTAATGAAATTATTGTAATAAAAGAACAATAGGCCTATCTAAAATCGTACCATATACTAAAAAGAAATACTTGGATTAATTGACCTCAAGTTATTATCAAAGTAACTGATATAAAAATAATATTCTCTCAAAAACTTAATGACAGAATTGAAGAAGTCTCTAAATAATATACTAATAAGATAGGACACTGTAAGTATGGACTAAAGTTGATTGGACGGAACACGCTCATCATATGAACTGAGCATTGTACACATATTGTTTCTTTAGGCATAGCAAAATGTTGAAAAAAAAAACTGGGTACCAATTTAAAAAAATTGAAAACTTAATTTATATCCATAGAACACATTTAACTTTCAATATGGGTTTATTTTAGTAAACCTAAAGTATTAGTTTGCTTTATGTTTACACCCAGAGAGATGAATCAAACCATCTATATATTATTATATTATTCTTTTTTATACACACTCACCTCACACCCACAATGTATTAACTGCCTATCACTGGCTTAGCACAACTTTGGAAGTCAAAATATACTAAAAACTATAACATTTAATATGCATAAATTCAAGCGGGACTCAGATGATTATAACTTATAGTATATTATTAAGTATTTGATGCATTCGGTCAATCTCTGATGGCTTAAACTACAGAAAGGCATTACATTAAAAAAAATCTGCTGTAACAAGTTACTTCCAAAAATAAATCTTACATTAAACTATTTTTTTTTACAAACACCAGGCATCTAATATCTTACATAACTTTTCATATTTTAAATGTACTGCATACAAGTACATCAGTATTCAGGAATTTTTGTATCAAAATGTTTCATTATTTGGGATTTATTCCTAGATGTGTATAAGAGACAGATATAATACACTAGACTTAGCTTCTACTATTGCTTTAAGGTTTAAGTACATATTGGTTGAAGGCTAAACATAAATCATATCAAACACCAAAAAACCATAAAATCTAGTATTCTGTTAAACAAATTACAAATGGTGGACAAGACACTTAAATCTGCATGAAAAAGGCTATTTTTTGGTAGTATTTTGTATAGATCTATGACTGCTGTCTTGAAATCTGATAGAGTTAGTTGCTTTTTAAATTGAAACCCTGGTGAATTAGGTGAACATTTTTATACCCATTCGGCGGACATTCTATGTAGCCAAAAACAGCAAGCTTTGCTGAAAAACACCATCTATATTAGAACGAGCAATCTCAACAAGCCAGACCTGTAAAGATTCCTTCACAGGCAATGTTTGATAGATTATACGATTAAAGATAGGCTTTTGCAAAATCACTGGCAACTTGAAATGGCTAATAAACATTTTATTATTACGTATTAACCACCCTATACCCTGTAGATTCAAAATTACTTTTGTTTTTAGTTGGTTCTGAAATAGCAATAAGCACATACTACTACAATCTCTTCCAAACACTTTAGTAATTACACTTAAATTTTAAATTGCACACCCTACCTACTTACAACCACTGGAATGTGAACATATTAGCACCATACTCATAAAACACCCCCTCTATAGTTCACTTCCATATCATCTTCATTACTTAATCGAACATGTATGTGTACTACTGTTTAAATGACTAATATACTAAAAATCTATATGCACACATGGCTTTACAACTGGTTTAGGTACTTGTTATTGACAGCTTAATGTTTAACGGTCTTACTGCATAACAACAAAATATATTGACTGCACCTTTTGAAGTAAGCGCTAAGAAAAAATTGCATAATTATCAATTAAATCAAACACTTCTACACAAGAGTGACGGTAATCCTGTTACTCAGTAATTAAGTAAGTAAGTAATGGAATTTTTGATAATGTTCTTGCTCCTTGAAGTTGTCAGATGAGTGTTAGCAATTGCTAGAAGATGGTTAAATAATCTGGAAGTATTTGGAAGAATAATAAAATTAGAAGCACCATGGAATCTGGAGATGAGTTTAGTCTCTACTTAATGCTCATTCCCGACTGATCACAGCAAATTGTTTCTCTGTCATGACTGCTGCTCCCTCAATTTGCGTTTGTCATTTATATGCGTTAATACCATGGCAGTTTCTGTCAGAAGTGATTCCATAATGCCATCTGCCAACTGCATTTTAACGGTAACTTCATCATCATCATAGTTTACCCATTCTGGTTCTTCTTCTCTCAATTCCTGAATTAGAATTTCATCTACGTGATCTTTCTTCTTTTTACTGTATTTCAATGAAAATGTCTCAGATTTCTTTTTTTTCTTAAGACCTAGTAAAAGCCCAACATGGTCATGTATCATGTCTGCCCAATCTTCATCCTTAGTAGATCCTTTATCTATAATGTACTTTCTTGGTCGCCTCTTTTGTTTTATCCATGGAGGGTGTTCTACAGATTTCTGTTCAGACAGAACATCTTTATAAACTTCATTCGACAAATCAAATACAAGAGTCTTGTAAGATTTCTTGCTTACACTTTCAATATCACTGTCTTTAGTGTCATCTCCCAATAATGTTGCTGAAGGAGTGGCATTATCAAGAGACTCATTAAGAGCTCTTCTTTGGATAAGTTCATCAAGACTTTTTGAGACCATCTTCCCAACATCGTCTTTGTTGTGTGGTACAGCAAAAAATAGTTCCTCCGTGATTTTTTGAATTTCTTTTAACTTACTTAGCTCGATAGTAGAGCTGGGTTCTTGTTTCTTCTGGTCATCCTTATTGCGTTTTGGAACTTCAACAAGTGACTTTGTTTTTGGCATCGAACTGAAATCGTCATCAAACCATTCTTGTTCACCAAAGATGTCTCTATCCATTAGTTGCTGATCCAAAAGTTGCATTTGCTCCATTCTATCACTGATGTCTGGACTGCTGCTGCGAGAGTCATCAATCTTCGGAGAATCTGGTGGTGCAAAGACGTCATGATCAACATCCTTATGATCTGATGTTAGTGACTTTGTTGGTGACAATGGTGGAAGTGCAATTATACTGCTAACTTCATCTTTCACAGGTTCTTTATTATTTGTGTGTTCTTCTGAATCCTCTTGCTCAAGGACATTTAAATCACCTTTTTCTAAATGATCTTTCTTAATTTGTGTTCCTTGATTTTCCAGTTGTTCAATCTCTTCTTCTTCCTTTGGGAGCTCATCTGCTTTCACATCAATCTGATTTGCAGCTTCTACACTTTTATCAATAATGACATCTTTTTTCAGAAATTCTGAAACTGAATGTTCAATTAATTTATTATCTCTTTTTCTTCGAATAGCAATCATTGTTCCTATTGCATCTCCAATAAGATTCTGCATTAAAATCTCTGATTTTTGATCAGCTGTTTTTTCAAGTTCTAATTCCATTTCTTCCTCAAATTCCTCTTTAGCTTCAGAAAATACATCAAATTTATGACCTTCATTCTCTTCATCTTCATACTTTTCATTTTCATAATTTAAAACATCTGCAATCTTTTCTTTAGAACTGTCCACCAAGCTCTTTGTGAAGTTATCAGTAATCTTTTCAACAACAGTTTCTAAACCACCAGTAGCAACCACCACATCATCATCTCTTGGAATATCTTCTACTGCTCTAGGTGTATCATCCACATTGGAAACGTTTTTCTGGCTGAATATATCATCTTCTGACTCTTCTTCATCTCCAAAATTAAATGATTCAACTGCAGAAGCAGCAGACCTGATAATCATATCCAGGGCAGCATCATCAGTTATTGGACCAGAGAACTCCTCAGCTATTGAGCTTTCATCCTCTGTGTTATCTTGAGGATTATCCAGTCTTGAATTTGATTCCGTTGTGTCCGCACGACTCAACTCTGCCTCTTCTAATATTCCTGAATCTGATGGTCCCTTTGCTGATGGCTCTAGTTTATCTACGACAGGAGTGTAGACTTCATCTCTTGGCTGATCTTCTGTAACAGTTGCTTCACTTGCTTCACTCTGTACCTCTTCAGCGAAGCTTGTTTCTGATTCTGAAGCTGATGATTGTCTCACAGGTCTTCTGTCTTCTGACTGACTTAACCTTTCAGTAGTCACAACCTTTGGTTGGTCATCATTTGGACTGATAATAATCTCTTTTGGAAATTCAGGTTGCTCATCTACAATGTCACTAGAAAAGCTTAAGTGTTCACTGATGTCTTCTTCTGTTGATGCAGCCTTAACTTCTGACTCAAAGTCTACACTGTAATCAGCAATTTTATTTGAGCCGATGCTTGGAATTTTATATGAAGCTGCACTAATATGATTACTTGAGTCCACACTCAGACTTTTATGTGATTCTGACAGTACAGAAATATTCATATCTAGGCCTTCATTTTCTGATAGAAGAGATTCAACTTCATCATTAAAGTTATCTTTCCTTGCAAGGGATTTCTGAGCTTCATCTTTCTCAACACCTGTTGAAATGACAGCATTATCTGAAGCTTGAGATGAAATTGCTTCTGAAATATTCTCGTCTATTTCTTCATTGATTTCGGTGTCACTTTCTTCATTATTCCTGACAATGATGTTTTCAGCTGTTTTTTCTGGAGTCAAGATTAGCTCTTTTTCCACAGGTTTATCTCTGTCTTCATATTTCTGTAGTATGCCTGATGGTAGATGTTCCGATTTTTTATTAATGACATATTCATCTTGCTTTGGACTAGGAGTAAATGTTAATCCTAACCCTGAAAAAAGATTAATGAAAATGATTAATATAACAAACATAACTGTACCATCATCTACAATATATGATTATATAATTAAAAACACATTATTAAAAATTCTAATTAAATTGCTGAAGAACACAAATGAACAATATTCATTACATGTACTCCACGATGGCAAAAAAAAGCATTGAAGTCAAGTATACTAATGAGAATCTACATTATTCTATCTAATTAACAAACTTTTTCATCTGCATCATCATTATCATTCAGACCATTGCCAACCCTCTTAAAACCAATTTTGTCAAAACTGTTGTTTTAATTACTAAATTTAATTCCTTAATTAATGCTTACAATCACATGAGACAAATGGTATTACCTTTATTTGATGTTGTTGGAGATGGTGTAGCTGGTGGATTTGGACTATGGTCTTCTTCAAGGCTTGAATGGCTACTCTCAGACTCCCGACCATGCCTGACTGGTGTGCTATCAAGAGGGAGGCTCTCCCTACTACTTTCAGACTTTGTGCGCTGTCTGGTTAGGCCAGGTAATGCACGGTCTTTACCATGTCCCGGCTGCTTGATCTGAGGCTTGACGGCTCCTTTGGCTAGCTCTGCATCAGCACTTAATTCTTTCTTCGTTTTTTCTATGAACTTTTCATAGGCCTGTTTAAGATACACATACATTTTTCTTTTAGTTAAAGTTGGAAAACTTGTTTGATAGTACCAAAGAAGAATCTGAAATAGTGATTTGGCCTTTAAATATTCTGTATTTAAAAGGAAAAAATACACAAAATCAAATCTTAACCACTCACCTCTAATTGTTTCCGTAAACTAGCCTCTTGAACTTTCAATTTCTCACGGTACATCCGCTTTTGCTGCTTGCGGAGTCGTTCAGCCTCAGATTTACGACGCTTCAGCTGGTCATTTAGTGCTCTGAGCCTTCCCTCAACATCACTTTGATCTGATGCAGTTTCTAATTAATATAATAAATATAAGTAAAGCAATTGAATTTAATTTTTTTTTTAAACTGTCACAGCTATTGCCATTATTTTAGAGACCACACCAAGAAAGCTACTACTGTTCAGGATGCACTGCATCCCAATAAAATGTTATATGACATGATCTTCTGTTAAAAAAACTGTTTTGACCATTGTTTTTTTTAACAAAACTACACACAAAAAATATATTTATTCTTTTTAAAAAATGTTGGCTGACCCTGGTGTGTCATGACATAGCTCATCACACTTTATATTTCATTAACTACTTTTAAGGGAACAATTTTAGTTTAAAGTATGGTTTCTTTAAAATCACCACAGTACACTGTTTTAAGTGCAATTGTTGTATGTCGTAGAAGTTCCCGACGCATTCAGGAAGGCTCTCCGATTTGAACGACCAATCAACACACCGAAAGCTGTTAGCAATAGCATGTAGCGATTGTATGAAAACAAAGCTTATCTAAGTTTTAGCAGTAAAACTTTCTTTCATAATTTTGAATGTTGAAAGGCTTATCATCATTGTATAATGTGTAAACAGTCCTTTTACATATCTATGAATTGTCATAGTAAACTATTATCCAGTTTTTTCCATCAACCTACCTGACATTGTCTGCGAGAACGACCTTTCTGACTCGGACCCACTCTCAGATTCTCTTCGTTTCCAAGGGGCCACAGGTGACCTTAATGATTCAAGTGAAATCAAAGAACCAATGGGAGACTTGATAACCCCCTTCCTAGTACTGTTTGGTTTTGTTGATGTGACAGAAGTATCAGCAGATGCTGTGTCAAATTGATCATGGCTGTAATCAGCCATGGAGCTGTGATAGAGGGCGTCATCTATTGACATCTCACTGGGTACTGAACTCATTGTACCACTGAAATGAAATAAAATTTATTTACGGTAGAACCCCTCATTTACGTACGGGACGGGCCCAAAGCTGTTCGTAAAAATCATCCGTACGTAAAATCGGGGTTGTGTGAAATTCCTATGTATTTACACTACCGATATGCTTGGCTGGGCTAGGCTAGGCCTGGACTTAAATTTTGTTGGACTGGAGCCAAAACTCCAACTTGCGCTCGAAACTAGCAGCCTTCCACTGGATTGAAAGGCGAAAGAAATTCAAAATAACGATCATAATAATGTACAGTACTATACATACTTGTTAATGTGTATAGAAACTTTATTCTCTCTTTCTCAGGCAATAATATATGACTTATCTTCTAGTTTACGAAGAAACACAGCCCAGCGGGCTCCGCAACAGGGCGAGTAACCAATTTTTTTCACTCGATCCATGTGGTTGTGGCGTCATGTAAATACCCTGTACAGAATAACCCGGAAACCAGGGGTTCTCAACTTTTTAAAAGAAGAGCGCCGATTGGCTGTAGACACGGCGCTTGGACTTTTTTTTTTATGCAATACGATTGTTCATTTATTAAATGAATAATAAAGTTATAAAAAGAAAATGTGGGTGTCAGTGTCTTATTTTATGGGGGAAATAATGAAATGGTACGTTAGTTAGATTTGATAAATAAATTCCATTCATTATTAGGGGGTTCATTAAATTACGATATGAGGGTGGTGTATTCAGAGATGAATAAATCATGCGCCGATCGATATGCCGACAAGTTACGCATTGAGCAGAGTTTTCTCACGGCTTCAGACATAAAGTATGATCGCCGTGTTGAATGTCGGTGTATTCAAAGCACACTATCTGTAGTAGAGATTGCTGATAGTGTACAGCAAACCGTCTAAGACCGAGTGAATAAACTCTAGCCCGCGCCTAACGATTAATTCTTGACACGGGTGTGTGTTTTGTTCATGAAATAGGAACTTTATTTATGACAACAATTACATGATTTTACGTTCGTAAATCAGGAATTCGTAAAATCGGGGTTTGTAAATGAGGGGTTCTACTGTATTTTGTTATTTTTATTTCCATTTCTTATTAATCCTGAAAATCATCTTGGCAAAACATGCCTCAAAAACATAACTCAGAAATCCCATTTTAAATAAAATATAGAGTTTGAACTGTTTACTTTTTGTTCAAACAATAATTACAATTTGTAGGTTTTTATGTTAAAGGTTTTGAAAGTGCCTTGAGATGATTTCTTTTACTGTATTTAACATTACAGTAATTGACAAATGTATCAACTAAAAATATACTGTAGTCTGTTATAATTTCTTGAAAATGCTCATAAAAATTCTTTAAAAATATTTTTCTAAATTCACTATCTTCATTATTATTACTGATATCTTTATATTACAATGAACCCTCCAATTTGAGACCCCCTAAATTGAGATCACTTTTCCAAAGAACCAAATTACAATCTCTCATCTATTAACACTAAGCTAACCCTCTATATGTGGCAAAGACAAGCCTAACCAGTCACTCATCTCGATTTTGAGTTATTAATACAGTGTTAGAGAGTAAAATAATAGCTATAAATTGGTAAAAAAATCATTCAAATCGGACATTTCCTTATGAAGTTACAAGCGTTTAACCTCACAGCTGTTTAAAGAACAATATATTAGAAATTAACCGTCAAAGTTTATGATTTCAGGCATTTCTCATGCAGAAACTATCTTTAAATCCTTAGAAAATATTGTTTTAACATTGAAAATGGGGAAAATAACAGCATAGAATGATGTGTAGATTTATAAAGGTTAGTTTAGTGCAATAAAATAGGTTTTAAAAATTTGACATTCCAGTATGTTTTGGCCATTTTCTCTGAAACACGATTTGCGAAGAGTGACTGGTTTGGCCTGTCTTTGCCACATATGGAGGCCGAAACCCGAGACCACCCCAAATTTTCAGATTCCAAAGGTGGTCTCGAATTGGAGGGCGAACTATACCTATATCCTTCAATAACATCATCATCATCATCATCATCAAGAAACAAGATGATCTTAATCACAATAACAAAATCCTTCATACCTTTGTTTACTTGTGCCACGGTCAGTGACAACATCTTCTACGATGCTGCTGGCTTGGCTAATCTCCTCAGCAATGGAACTCTCACCAGCTTTATCCTCCTCCTCCACCACCTCGCCAATGGTTGTGTCACTCTCACGAGACAGGCTGCGTGACAATGGGTCTGTAAGCTTTGATTCTTGGGGCGTTTTCTCCTTCTTGCTTTTGTTGCTGCCAATGGCATTTCCGTCGAGTAGGTTGAGCGCTTGTTTTTCCATCTTAACTACCTTTGCTTCTTCTTCATCAAGTTTTTGCTTCCATGCTAAGAGCTCTTCAGCAGTCTTTCTTCTTCTGCTCAACTTCTGCTGTCTCTTCATTAAATGTCTAAATAAAAGTAATTTTGTATAAAAAGGTGTTTCACAGTATAAAAATTGGAATAACAAAGTTCAACTGGTTGTAAATAATGATGATATTGATGATGATAGTTGACATCAATGAAGTGGTTGATTGGTATCGGTGCTTGACTTTGAATAACATCTGATGTCAATTTATTTAAAAAGCAGTAATGTACACAACATATTATTGAGTAAAACATTATAAGCATTACCTTGAGTTAAGTGGAGCTTGCATCAACTTCAGTTTCTGTAAAACTTTAGCTTGCTTATGAGCTGCAACCTCTCTGTCTTCATTCTCACCACCAGTATTGGACAGACCTGTAAACTCTAATCCAATTGATGTATCTATGGCTATATTACTTGCATCATCAACAAGTCCCTCATTTGAAGAAATCTCAGACACAGAACTGAATGAAATATCACCCATACGACCTTTGAACTCTTCGGTTGATTGACGTATCCGTAAAATCTCCTGTTGCTGGTAGAAAAGAAGCTGCCTGTCTTTCTGAGCAATCTCCTGAGCTTTTTGCAAACGTTTTATTTCAGAAAGCTCTGTCTGCAGACGGGAATTAAGAGAGCGCTGCTTTTTCTTCACAGAAGTTATTCCCTCTTCGTCCTGGTTCTCGGTATGTTTTTTCTTCTGATGCTCAAGCCATGCCATCTCTGCACGTGTCTTCTCCTTGATGGCCTTCTCTCGTAATCTCAGAAGATCTAACTGCTGCTGTGCTCTAAATTCCTCATCTTTTAATTGTTGACTGAGAAGCTTGGTCGAGAGTCTGTTCAGACTTTCTCTGTCAGGTGACTGTTTAGTTGTTGGTGGACTCTGTAGAATAAAATATAATTTTCCAACCTAAAAACCATTTAAAATCAACAATATTATGCTGGTGCTATACTATACATACACTAAACTTATACTTCGTAAATTACTATGACAATTACTATGTTGTTGTTGCATTTAAAATGTAATTGGATAAAAATTTTAATTTTTTATTTGAACTTCATTTTTAAGAAAGCAATATTATTGAAAAATACAATGATTCAAGTGCTATATTTTATAACTAACCTTTCTTTTGTCTTCAGAAGCAACAATTTCTTTCTCTGGTTTTTCTGAGATGATTTCTTCTTTTGAATTATCTGACCGGTCTTCATCTAATGTATCAACCTCACTGATTGTACGATCAAAGTCTTCAGAATAGCTCTCGGGAATCTCTTCCACAATGCTCCGACTTTTAGTTGATGCATGTGCATCAACGCCTGGTTCTGTGGCAATTGATGATGAAGCATTCTTTATAGTCAGAAGATCTTCTGAAATATCCCCCGAGGAGTTGGACTTGACGGCATCAGCAGCGCTTGCTTTACTA